TCGGCCCCTGCGTGGGAAATAATATCGGCTGATGGAACATAATGCCCTGCTTCACATGTTCAATTTTATCATTTTCCGAGGCAGGCAATCTTCGTTTAAAGCTGAATGGGCTGGGGAATGTTAATGAAGCGCCGGCGCTGCTCTGCACCGCACTTTATCTCTTCGAGAATAATTTGGGTGAGCTCGGAAATAGAGTTCCCAGTCCCAATTCAAGCGGCGGCAGCACCGCGTGCCGATAAAAGTGTAATTCCTGGCCAGCGCGTGGCCCAGAATACATGACAATTTAACCCTTGGGGCCCCACTAGGATGGTGCTGCCCACAGCTGCCTGCCTGCCTGCATTGGGTCCGGCTGCCCTGCATGCCCGGCACCAGCCGGGGAGCTCAGCCCAGGCAGGATGGGGTCTCTCGCTCCCGCTTGCCCAGGCCACAGAGCAGGGCGTGCAGCCCAGGGAGGAGAGATAAGAGGGCAGGAGCGGAGCTGGAGGAAATCAGTCTCCCTGGACAGACAGGACCCCACATGCAGATCTGCAGCAGCGCCAGCCCGCAGGGTGCCCAGGGATGGGGGCTCTGCCAGGAGAGGGATGCCCCAGATCCAGGGATGCCCCAGATCCAGGGATGCCCGGCACCGGAGTCAGGAAGGGTTAGGGAGAGGTGAGGAACCGGGGAAGCAGGTAGGGGCTGATGGAGCAGGCTGGAGGGAGAGGGCAGGGGAGATGGGTCCAAGGGAGCAGCCCCACGTGTGAGCATCCCACCCCAGAGACACTGTCAGGGCAGGGGGGGTTTTGAGGGCACACGCCTGCCGTGACGGCTGAGTGAGGGGCTCCCCCAGCAAGGGCTCTGGGCGCCGGTACTGACAGAGCGTAGCCAGGCGAATTTGCAGGAGGTGTTTGCTGGTCCACGGAAGCAGTAATGCGGGTCAGCGGGAGCCGGCATCTTGGACCCCAAGGACAAAGCCTGTGGTGGTCTGCCTGGTCCTGCTCTGAGCCCGGCTGTGGGACTGGCTCCAGCTCCCACCAGTCGTGCTCTGGCAGTGGGTCCCTGCACGGGGTGACACTGGGGCTCTGCCCTCCCCATCATGTGTGCAGCTCCCTTGGGCTGCAGGTGCAGCAGAGCGTTGTACCTGGGGCAGCACAGAACCATCCGAGTGATGGTCCTCATGTCCTGGGCCATCCTACCCTGAAGATGCTGGGCAGGGGTCACCTTGGCCCAGCAAAGGGCTCAGCAGAGCCCCTCCGGCACCAGCCTGGAGCCCCTCCGGCAGGACAGCAAGTGGGTGCTAGGACGGACCCTTGCCCTGGGAATGCGCAGGGTGGGCAAGTTTCCAGCACCGTTAATCAGGTCTGCGAGAGCCGGGATTAATGTGCACTCCAAGGCTCTCCAGTCCCAGCTGTGATCCAGCCCTCTGCTCTCAGCCAGAGCCGCCTCCACGCGCTGAATTATCAGCCTGAGTAATTAAGTGGAGAGCTTTGTTTTAATGCAGACATCTGATGCCTTCGCACCGAGGAGCACAACAACTGTCGTGGATGTTTATGCCCCGTGCAACACATCTGGCTCACGGGGAGAAAACCCATCTCCACCGCTGCGCGAGATTAAAGGGAACGTGGCCCAAGCGTGGAGAGAGGAGGGACGGCTCGGCAGC